AGATTTTTCCTGACTAACAGGTAAACAAACTCTTGCCTCATTAAAACCTTTGACTAAAGTTTAGTCACCAAAGCTTACAGGCTATAACCATGGGCTACGTTACTTTGTTTGGAGAATATTGAACACAAATTACTCATACTTTCTTCAGCATTTTAATAAATATAATAATTTCTCTGGCATTGCAAGTTAGTTCCCTGTAACAGGAAGGCTTCAAAATAGTATGAGAAGTATTTGCAAGACTTGTGTAGGTGTGATGCTTTGGCCCATGCTAATCACATACCCTTTCATTCCTGATGGGTGCTAGCTAAGTAAGTCCTCTTTAAAGTCCTGAAAGGAAGGGCTGATCATTCCCTTCAAACTTTGCCCTGCTTGTTTACCTGAACAGCTTTTCGGAGGAGCAGCTGGTCCATCCTAAAGATCCCCAGTCTTCCTGAGGAAACCCATCTGGCAGGTCTGACCTACTCAGATATAATACTCTTGTAACCACTATATAGTGTTTTGCAAGAAGAATATGATCTTAAAACAATATTCTAATATGGGACTTGCTAAAAGCGTTACCTAAGAACATTAGCTTGATACAAAAATTTCTGTCCTTTTCATCTGCCCAGCTCTTTTTTTAGGAAGATCTCACCTTTTATTAGCACACATGGAAAAAAAATGGAAGTCTGGTTGCAGCATTAATGGAAAAGGCGTTCTTAAGAGAAGACTATAATGAAATGCAGTAGATCAGAGGTAACTAATGCTGTAAAACTCAAAATGGTCACATGTTAAAGTTATGTTTCTTTCTTTTTCTCTGGAACCCATGGCTGATTAAGGGTTTTTTTGTTTGTTTTCTTTTTTTCTGAGTGATTCACTTAAAGACTTGCAATTTCAAAGCATTTCTTTAGAATATTTTCCAGTTGATCTCATATGGATGCTTAAATATATACCCTGTAATAAAGTGAGTGTAGACATATGCGTGCATAGATTTTTCAGGGTGCTGCTAGTTTATAAAGCTTTAATACTTTTATCAAATAATGTGTATTTCTTTGCAAATGCTGATAGTGACCTCTGTTATGTACCACTCTTTTTCTGCCTCTCATAGCTTTTACTTGAAACACAGAAGCAGTACATGCTTGTGTGTGTAAATGGGATACCAGACTCTAAACTCCTCCTTATGTTGCAATTCAGTGCAATATTTCTCTTGATCAGTTGCCTTTGAGTCTCACAAAGAGTCTTAAATAAACAGACAGAAAGTGGATGTGTCTGCCTGTAACTTTGTGTGGTGATGGAATGAATGAGCAGTGAACACCCTTATAGTTATATATTCTGTTTAGCATATAGCTGCTTTATTTGACAATAAAATAACTGAACCTTATTTGTATATCTACTTGGAGCTGTTTGAGCATTTCACAGCTGTTTGTTCCCTCCCTTCCAGCCTCTTCATGTGGTGACAGTAGAACTTACCATTCCCATCGGAAGTTCTGTAACAAATTACTCTTAGTCTGTTTTACTACAGAATCAGAAGGGTTAGCTTACACCAGTACATATCTGTTCACGTGCTGAGACAGAGAGATTATGATATACTTAGATTAGCTGAACTTATGTCTGTCTGTCTCTAGAACAGGGAAGAAGGGGCTGCTAACTGTGACCATTGCATATGCATTTCAGCTGCATCATTTGGTGTAGCAGCAGTATTCATCTAAGTGAGCAGTGCTGGTTCACAGAATTAAACTGACATAAAAAAATACCCTATACCAAAAAGAAAAGCCTAGCTCCTTGAATTACCTTACTGCAGGTCGAACAAATGGTAGTGTTGATGCTATGCAGTGCTTGCATTTTTTCAGTGGGATTACAATGTAAGAGCTAGGAATACAAATCACAAACATGACTTTAATACAAGACAACATTCACTAACTTACAGCTGTTAGTGTACATTAAAAGCTTAGAGAAACTCTGAATCTGGTGCTTCTTCATATTTGAATATATAAACTGTAGATATAATAATCTTTATTTTTTTTGATAACTTACCAGATTTTTCTGTTTGCCAAGAAAGAAACAGCAGAGAAAAAGAAATGTTCATGTCATTGTAGGGATTACTTGTACAGTTGAAATTGCTGGGTTCACTGTATACATGTTTGCCATAAAAGCTAATGGAGAAAATGAGAGCAATTGTTGGTTTGTCATCCTCTGTTTGGGCTTCTCAAAGGTTGGTATCTCTCCGGAAGAAGCCCCAAATTAGCTTTGCCTGGAATTTTCTAGACATATGATGCTCCCTGCATATCTTTGGGAAATCTTGTAATATTACAACTATTTATTAATATTTTTGGTATTCTTTTGTTCTCTTAGAGAACAACTGCTATGAATGCAGTGTGTATTGCTTGACTGGCCCAGCAAAAAGGAAGCTTTCATGTAATTTTCTGCTGAGCAGAATCTGGTGGGAAGAAAGTAGTGGACGTTGTTAAAAATTCACAGAGCTCTGTAAATCACCTGATGTGAACATCCACAATGTTACAAATGGAAAAGGCATCCGAGGGACCTCAGGTGCATTTTGGTATTGGTAGAGGATGTCAAATTAACCTGTCAACAGTAGGCTGTGTGCCAGTCTTGGAAAGGTGCTGTGTCATAGATTTTCCTGCCTATTTCACCCTAGATGAAAGAGTCTGTCTCTTTCCATTGCCTGTAGACTGTCCTTCTTGTGGTGCTGTGTATTTATAATCTTTAGCCCTTCCTACCAGCTGTGTTCTTGCTCCCTGGGCAATCCCAGTCTTTGCATGTTAAGCTTTTCATTTGTGGAAAAAAAAAAAAAAAAAAATCTTCTCTCAGTAGGTGATGAATATGAAATTACTCAGTTCAGTGATTAAAATCTGGCAAATCATAAGGTAGGAGAGTCAGATTTTAGCTATCTATAGATGGCACTGCCAGGCTTATGAAATTGGCACATTAGGGTGTGACTTTGGAGAAAAGGCCACTAGACTTGTTCATTGTTCATGTTGAACTCGGCTATAGAAATGCATCACTGGTGGAGCATTTGGAACTACGGAAAACTGATACCTGTGTAGATGCCATGAAAGGCTGAGTGAGAGGCAGGAATAGAAAGAATTGAATACATCATTTTAATAAGAATAAAAAATAATCTAGAAGTGCTTTGTATGTATTTTGTATTAATAAACAGAAGGAAGCACGTGCATTCTGACCAAATAATTTTTTAAAACATTTACTTGGAGCATACTTTAGAAGAAGTAACTGTCTACAAGCAAGAATTTTCACCACCCATTGTCTGATAAAACTACAAGTTCTTGTTATTAAAAATAAATCTTGTTAGTTCCTGGGAACATTTCTGTAAAAAAGGGAAATCCTGAACATTGAAGCCTTACTATTTTTATGGTGCTATTTTGGCAGTTGACCTTGTTTTCCTATTCACGATGAGCGTTAGATGAGTGACCTGACATTTGTAGGACTGTTAAGTTATTTAATGCAAACGGCATCTTGTAACTGGTGGCACTTTAATGATAAGTTCATAGTGTATATTGAACTGAAAGGTTAGTAATCTTTAAACAGGAGGCTAGAACCTTAGTTTCACTTGAGTTTACAGATTGCAACCAACACAATACTGAACAGGTACAGGGGAAAAAAAAACCCCAAAGTGTAGGAAAACAGCTAATTATAGTAATTGCAGCTGGTTTCAAAGTACTTCTAACAGTTTGTGCATAATGCTTACTTGAAAGCATCAAATGGGCGCTAGTTGTGAAATAGAACACCTGTTTGTTGTTGAGCATGTGTTTATGCAGATGATTTTTGTTGTCAAAGCACCTTGATGTAGAGTAGTCCTGTTTACATTTACATTCTCCCCAAAGGATTAACAGTGTTCTCTCAATAAATTTGCAGTCTATTCTCCTCTCAAAGGCTGCTGTTTGGAGGGTGGTGTGAACGAGGCAACAAGTGCTTGCTAATCACTTGAATATACATAATTAGCGACAGTCTGGTGCACTGGAGTCTTTGTACAGCCATAACAATACTGATTGGCAGCAGCAGATAACAATAGTCGTGGCAAGGTGCTATTTGTTGAATATTTGAAGGTGTTTTTCTTTTGTATTCCCAATGGGCATTTTGAGTTAATTGTACCATTATTCTGGAACACTCTTACTACCTTGTGTCAGAGTTAAAGATCGGTCATGTGGCCTGTTGTACACAAGGGAGTGAGACCTTTAGTAAAGCCTTTGCTTCTTTGGACACTAAGCTGGATTCTCTTTTTTTCCTTCATAATTTTATGATACTAAGCTGGATTCCACTTTTTTCCTTCTCGTTTTTATATAACTCAAAGTAAAACTGGAAGGTGTGTCTAAAAATTTGGGAGATTAATGTGTTTTATGATATTCTTCTTCTATTCTGCAGTGATCAGTTTTATGACTGGCTCTATTTGACAGGTTCAGTACTTTAGAAAACAAGTACAAAATAATTGATTGTAAAATGTATAGATAACATAGGCTGTAATGTAAAATAACACAGAGAAAATTACCTGGATTGCTTTTCATGTTTCTTATGTTCAAACTAAATGTGTTCTAATGTAGCAAAATGCTTAACATCAATTTAACTTAAGGGAAAATAGTAGAACAAATAGACTATTGGTGAACATCTATCAAATAATGAGTCACCGTGAATTTGGCAAGGTTAAATTGCATCAAACCAGTAAAATTTCCTTTTATTGACAAGGTAGCAGTCCGTGTAACACATAGTAGAGAAGTTTTGAATGTCTTATCTGGGATTTAGTCAGACTTCTGATATTCCATTTCCATAAGGAAACAAGAGACACATATTAGATGAAACAACTGTGAGGTTTGTTTCTAAGAGCCAAACTCTTAGAAAACTGTTCTGAGTTTAAAGGTTTGGTATCAAATGTAAGTAAATATGATGTAGAATTTTATTGGGCTGTTTTCTGACTTCTGCCTAGGTGGTACTTTCATTGATGGAGTGAGTAATGGAAAAGAAAATGATTATTAATGTTTTGAGGTGTCTCCAAGATGAAAAGAACTGCAGGCATGCTGGAGGATGGGGTTAGAATTCAGAATGGTATCACTAATGTGGAGACGTGGTGTGTGAGGAGCTGGAAGCTTGACATGCACTCTAGAATATTCTACTGTACAAAGAAATGGATGGAGAATGGGTGGCTAGGTAAGTAGCTTTTCGGAAAAAAGTGCAGTAGGTAGTGTGGATCACAAGCTGGATATTAATTATATCTCACAGTTGTGAAGAAGGCAAACGCAAGCATGTATCAACAGTAGTAGAGCCTGTATGATGCATCTTTCTGCTCCATTGAACACTTAGGGTTTTAGCTGGACAACAGCATCTATTTTTAGATGCTGCAGTTCAAGATTATGAAGACTATAAACAGAGACAATGAGTGATCAGCAATTGAAAATGAGTGATCAGCAATTTAGCGAGTGTAACCTAAGAGTATAGATTGAATGAATTGCAATTACTGAGGCTAAATAAGAAAAGAGAAGTGGTTCTATAATCTGTTCTTTGTGTGTACAGCAGAGAGGAGAAGAAATTACGGTTTTAAATTATTGCAAGGCAGTTGGCTTACAAACTGGCCAAACCTTTTTTAAGTAATCATGACATCAGAAAAAGCCTGTGGAGTTGTACCAGTGGCCCATCTAGCTCAGTATTCTGTCTGCAGCAGTGGCAGAGGAGATGCTGTTTAGAGAGAGCTTGCAAGCTTGGCCATTTTCTTGTCTTTCATTGCTCTTGCACTTTCCCAGTGTCCAGAACTGTTGTATTAGTAAAATTAGATGGTATATCTGTGTGATCCTTCTATTATCCATTTATGGACATTTTACCTGATGCCATAACTGTTTGTACTGTGATGTTCTCTATATTTTCTTATAATTCCACTGCATTTTTCCTGAGATGTGAAGGCGAGACTGTGCAGGGTAATGAAGATGTGGGCACAGCAGTGTTTTCTGTATCAGCAAAATGACATCCTTTCTCTTGTTCTTAGTATCCTTTCTGACATGCCCAAGATTTTGTCAGATTTTTTTGGCTGCTGCTGTACATGAACTTACAATTTCATAGAGCTGTCAGGACTCAGCTAAATCCAGGACTCAACTAAACTACAATTTGTGGTTCTAAAGTAAACATCATGAGGCATAGTTCAGATTATTTTTTTCCTAGATACATTACCTCACATTTATGTACCTGATGTTCATTTGACACTTTAATTTCATGAGGTGCTTCTGTTTTTCCATGCCATAAACATGGCATATGATTACCCACTACAGTGTAATATCATCTGTAAGCTTTAAAGTTTCAGGAATCACACCACTGTCCAGGTCATTGATGAAGGTGTCATATAAAAATGATCCCAGCATGGCTTCTTGGGGAATCTCCTGACTGTCTGTCATCTTATGCTGAAAACTGAAGTGACCATTAAGCGTTATGTTTTGTCTCCTCCTCACCCAACTTGCAGACTGTTTAAGAACCTCTTCTCCAATCCTGTGGCAACGCAATTTCTTTACTTGTCTTTGAGGAGGATCCTTGACAAACACATTATGCCTACTGGATGCCTTTTGCCCTCATGTTTATTGCCCCTCTTGTAGAACTCCATCAGGTTGGTTAGGCAGGCTTTCCCTTCACAGCAGTGATGGCTCTTTCCCAGCAGATCCACATCTTCTTGTGCTCTGTGATCTTACTTATTACAGACTCTAGTGATTTACTAGAAACAGGAGTCAGACTCTCAGGTAGTTTCAGGGATCCTTTCTAGAGTCTCTTTTTTTGTTAAAAATTGTGTTGGCAATCCCTCAGTCTTCTGGGCATTTGGCCATTTGTAGTGATGGATTGTAATCCCTGGCCAGCACCTCTGTGCTTTCACCTTTCTCTTCCTTCAGCACTCCTGGCTGACTGTCATCCAGTCTTTGTGACTTACTGACATCTAATAATTCCTACATGTCTACATTAAATCATCTAGCTTTCGCTTGTCTCCTACAGGGAATGGCTGGGTTTGGGTATCTTGCCAGTGTGTTTAGCGATAAAGACCAGGGAGAGTAGTTTGTAGTGCTTCTCTGCTGTGGCCTTATTATCCTTGAGTTCCCTTTCTGCACTTTTGTTATCAAGCAGTCCCACTGATTTCTTGTCTGGCTTCCTGGTTTTGATTATAAGCATCATTTGCAAGAAGCTCTTAAAATTATTTTCTAGCTCTCTTAAATTTATGTTTATATTGCCCTGACGTATTTTATGATCTTTCCTTTTCCTCCTTATTTGGGCAAGCTTTTCGTTCTTAATACTGACCTTTTCCCTAAATTACATTTTTAATTTTTCCATTAAGACATCCAGGTGGATTTTGGAGGGGAAGAGGGAGAGGAAGGGAGAACTACTTTCTTTTCTTTTTGAATTGTGGCAGCCATTTTTTCTGCTCTTACAGTATATTCTGCCTGTTTGTAAGGTCTTTTAATCCTTATTTGGGCAAGCTTTTCGTTCTTAATACTGACCTTTTCCCTAAATTACATTTTTAATTTTTCCATTAAGACATCCAGGTGGATTTTGGAGGGGAAGAGGGAGAGGAAGGGAGAACTACTTTCTTTTCTTTTTGAATTGTGGCAGCCATTTTTTCTGCTCTTACAGTATATTCTGCCTGTTTGTAAGGTCTTTTAAGCTGGTCCTTTGTGTGCCCCCCC